ACAACTAACAATAGTGTGAAGGATCATAAAACCACATCACATTACTCTTTTTAATATGCAGTTTGCCATTTGTATATCAAGATATGCACGTTAAACTCGTACAAGAGAAATAAAATTTAGAGAGAGAGTCTATGGAATATGTGAGGAGGTGAATGAAAACAAAATGCACATATAATGCTGATATACTTATCTAGAAAAAAATCCTGGAATGAACAAGTAAGGATGAAAGACCTCGTTTTAGGACAAAAGCGCATTGGAAAAGATTTTTGAAAAATAACGGTCAAAAAATATTTGAAAAAATAACGGTGATGAAATATTTGAATGGATTACATCTTATTTTGGTTGTAAATTTTGTGAACTAGTTGAAACTGGTTAAAACCAGCAGACGCTTTGACAAATTTGTTCTTAACTAACCTACTCCCTAGAGAAAGCAAGTTAAAAACAATAGCAAAGAGCGAGCAAAATAGGAATAAGGATAGAAAAACTTTTTTTATGGGATACGAGACGTGCAAAATTCAAAATGTGCTATAACATTCACCTCGGAGAATCATCACATGTGTGTGATGGCAATTTGCATAATGGAAAGATAAAGCCCAGGTATAGAGTTAGAGCAGTATGCCTCAATAACAAAAGGGCAGGTTTCACATGTAAAAAAAACATAAACACAACTCTTTCCTCATCTCTCTTAATTCAGAGAGACCAGAGACGAGCAACACACAAAAGGAACAGAAAGAGAGATTGCAAGTTAGCAGGATCTACACACAAACACCATCCACTCATAACTCTCATAACTATTTAATTTATTACTATCAAGTTCAGTCGTTTCATTTTCCTTTTCTCTTTTTTTTTCATTCAGTTTAGCACCACTGATACTTCTTGCTGGATTTACATTTAACAATTTTTTTTATGTGCTCCACTTTTATCCATACCTTCCATTCTATTCTGTTCTGTTCTAGTCTCTATGTTTCATGAATACAATATACGAACAATTCAGCACACTGAGGAGCATAAATTTTGAAATTTAACCATCTTTTTTCATTTAGAAATATCAAGTTTGACTCTTTAGGAGCTTTTGGGATGAGTTTGATGAAAATTAAGAGATATGAAGGATTTTAGAAGTCATAATTTTGAGTATAATGATTTAATATAGTGAAGAGTGAAGCTTAAAATTAGAATTCTATGGTCTTGTCAAAATAATCCAGATTATTATTTGGATTATCCAATTTCTGGATTTTCATTTTATTACAAAAATGATTTGTTTACAATTCCACTTCAACATTTGGAACTCAAGTTATGGCTTAATTATATGCTTATTTACTATTTTAAAGGTTGTAAACTACTATAGTTCTGTGAGCAAAGCGATTAACATCATATTATATCAACAAATCGATCTAGATAGTTGAAAAATTACGAATTTGAATTTATTTAAATATTCAAAAATTGAAAAAAGTTTCATAAAAGTGCGGTAAAACTTAAGTATTGGAAAATGCAGCAATTTAATGTCATAATACTCAATATCCATCATCAAACAAACTTTAGCTTTCCAAAGCTTTGATCATAAATGTGAGAATATAAAACTCAATCTTAGATGGCAAATAAATTCGCTTAAAAATTTGCCAAGACAAAAAAAGAACGTCAAACGATTTTTCATATCTTGGAATCACTACAATCACATACAGCTTTTTCCACATTTTCCTCAATGGTTATTGTTCTTTTGTTTCACTCACTCACCTTAGTTTACTTCATATGAAGCAAAAAAAAAAACTTTTGCTTTCGGGATTATTCATTTCATTTTCTTCCTCGTTTTGTGCTTTTTATATCTGTTCTATTCTCAAAAAAAGTAGAAGTAAGGAATGCATAAAAAAGTATGAAATCATCATCTTCTTTCTTTTTTCAAGGGGAGTGTTTCTGTGTTCACATGTCGACTATGAGCATGAAGAAAAATAAGTTAAAAAATATTAATTTGAGTGACTAGAGCGCATTTTTGAGTAATTTTAGAGACATACTATAAAGCATCGATTAAAAAATAACGGTCCAAAAAATTTAAATTAAATAACGAAATTGGAAGATTCGAATTTCATCAAAAATTCTTTTTTCCATTGGACAGATAGACATAACCAAACTTTTCTATCAAATCAAAAATTCGTTAAACAAAAAAAAATGTATGAGCTTTGAAAGTCATTTATAACACACTCCATTTATTATCAAAACTAACATAAAGCACGAACAGTTAGAGAAGAAGCATGGCTTTGAGTCCAAATGATACTTTCAACTGCCTTTTTTCTACTCGCAGTAGTTTTTTATTCTTTTGTTTTTTTTTACTGCTTTATGCTCAAAGTTTTTAACTTACTCGCTGTGATTTAAGACAAGAAAAATAAATAAAAATTTTTTTTGTATGTGCTCACCACGAATAGTAAGAAGTTTGGGGGAGAATGCAAAGGAAATTGCAAGATTTAAGAGAAATAAAAAACATTTCCTCGACATTTAAAACACAATGGGAAGGAGAATGGATTGAAACACTTAAATTAAGTTTCTTTTTTTCTGTGAAAATCCCTTCTCATTCCCTAATAATTCTAAATCACGCTAAAAGCTTTGTGGTGTTTTCTTTCTCTCGAAATTTTATTTTATTTTACAATGGGAGTGTTCTTTTTGGTTGAAAAGAGGTGTGAGAGGGATTTAATATTGTGTGTGTAGGCATCGACACTCTAAATTGTATTAGGTTTTACTCTGTGGTTTTACTCTTGATGGTTTTTTGCCTCTCCAACAAAATTGGTAGAATAAATGATGTAGAATTTTCATATTTTCGTTTTGAATAATATCTCTAAGGGATGTAGAATGTCGCTTGATCTATGTTGGGATGGATTTGTGATGTTTTTTCATACACTTGTGTAGTTTTGTGAAAATTGTGACAGTTATCATCGAATAGAATTTGAATTTAAATTGTTCAGTTGTATTCAGCGCTATTCAGCTCAATTCAGTGTTATTCACCCCAATTAAGCTCTATTCAGCATAATTTAGTTGTATTCAGATTAATTCAGCAATATTTAGCTTAATAAACTTCTATTCAGCGTTATTCAGTCTGATTCAGCTGATATTTCTGCATTTTTCAGCAGATTTCAGCACTATTAAGCATTTATTGAAATGAAAGTTGAATGAAGTGAAGTAAGTTGCATTTGATTAGCTGAATTGTTGAAATTTAAAAAAATCCGTTGAATAACTGACAAAATTTTCTTTAAGGATATATAAAACATCGATCAATGTAATTTATATCGAAAAATCTTGTAGAAAAGTTCCAAGTAAATATTTAGAAACAAATAAACAAACAAAGAATTCCAATAATACAGAATCTCATCGAGTATACAAAAAATGCAGTCAAAGATTCACATTATTATCTTATTTTATTGCAAAACTCTTCCTCAACATGCGGTACACGTGAAAAACAAAAGCGCAATCAACTTCTTCGCTCATATTATACTTACTTTCGTTTATATATGCTACTTTTCGATGTTTATACCACAGAGTGAATATCATGCAATAGAAAACAGAAAAGAAACTTTTTTATAAAGACTCAAACTTTATTTCCTCCCTGTGTTTAAGCGAACGAGAATCATTTCAATGTGAAAAGTTTTTCCCATTGAATAAAGCAAGCTCTTTCAGGGTGGAATATGAATGGAAAGACAATTTTTTTTTCGACTTACTGTTTCTACTCTTAAAAATCCATGAGAATATTCAGAAATAAAAAGCTTAGCGGTTTGCGAGTTGAGTTAAGTGAAGCGAAAGTTTCAAAGCATTTACGTTGAAATCTTTTTTTTTCCTTTATTCTTCGTGAATAATTCACTTATGCTAATAACTATGCGATGTAATACGCTTTGTCAAAAAATAAAGGAGAGAAGAAAGCAAATTGTTTTAATTAACATTTTCTTCTCATCATGGAAAGTAAAGTTTTTGGGGAGTGGGAAAACTGGAAAAGTGTTGGATTTTACTTAATTATAATTCCGGTGCTTTTAATTTGGTCTATTTTTGAAGGATGATTGTGTTTATTTTAATGACTGATTTTTTTTTTGTGCGATAATGTTTTGTGGCACCAAACATAACTGAATAATGATATCTAATTTGATGACGCTTTTCCATTTGCGTGTTTCTCGATGCTCGGATTCTAAAAATAAACAATCTGTCAAATAATTTTGTACTTATCACATTTAGAATTCTAATTCTTTGTTTTGGTGTGTCCGGAGTTGATAGTGGGCAGCAACGGTAGCTTTATTGTGCGGCTTATAATAAGATGGCTGGAGTGCTTTCATTTATAAATAGAATGTTGTGAAGAATTTGAGGTTCTGGGCTATTTGCTGCATCAAATGACAATTCTCAGCTCCTGATTGGCTACGTTTGAATATGCCTAAGACTAATAAGGTCTAAGTTCACTGTTTGTCTTTAAAAGTCCAAAATCTTGAAACTAATCAACCGTTCCCAGCCCTAGACTTACATAGTCAAAGAAGAATGTAAAACTTACTTGCCGCTCAGTTTTGCGGTTTAGCACTGAAAATCCTTTAACTTTTCCTACTCATTTTTCATTTCTTTTCTTCCTCTTTATTATGATAATGTTGTTGAATTGCAAAAAATTTGCATAAAAACTTTTAATTAAAATGTTTCCTTTTTTTGTTCCTTTCTCTTTCCACAGAATTACAAAGAGCAGCAACAAGAATGTTTTAAATGAAGATTTTAGTGCTTTTTTCCACAAAAAATTGAGTACGAAATTGCAACACAAGACTCATAAACAAATTGAAAATATTAAAAGTCAGACTTTTGAATGTCGCATACAAATGTCCTTATTATAAACTTACTTCTGTGCACTTTTGAGAGACTTGCTGTATATATTTCTTTTTTTTTTGACAATTTAAATTAATCTAAGTAGATTTATTCTTCCGATTGCCATAACAAGAGCAACAGCAGTCATCTACAGCTAAGAAGAAGAAATTATCTCCGTCAAGAACTTTAAGAGTATGCAAAGTGGCAAAGCCAACACGAAAGGAACAGAGAGACCGAAAGATTTGCATTTGCAGACCGGAAAATTTGATTGTGACGGAAACATTAATATAACATTTAATAAATCGTACTCAGATGATGACATTTCGCCATCTGAAATGAATTGTAAAAAGGTAATCGATAAGCCGACGCTTGTGAAGCGTTTAACAATGGGATTATTGAGGATGAATGATCAGGAGAGTCGTCCGTTAGGTATGTAGCACATTTTCAACAAATCTTACCCGAGTGGACAAAGTACTAGTTAAAAGCTTGCCATTGACTTGCCTATTCATGGCGAGTAAGTTTCCATTGACGTGCCTTTACAACTAGACTTAGGGACGACTAATGACATATTTTGCGCTTTCCATTTAGGGCTCGTTCACTTATTACGTAACGCAAAAAAACGAGTTTTTAGACCCCCCCTCCCCCCCTGTAACAAAGCGTAACAAAATCTTAGACCCCCCCCCTCCCCCCCATAACGTAACAATAATTTTTTTCATTTAAATTGTTTATCAAATGTTTATTATACTTCCTTTAAAATTTAAAATGAATATAGAAATATATTCACAAAAATTGAAAATTTTGTGTGAATATGAAAATTATAAAAAAATATATTTTTTGAAAAGTTACGTAACAAAATTTAGACCCCCCCCCCCCCTCCCCCTGTAACAAACCGTAACAAAATCTTAGACCCCCCCTCCCCCCCTAGTGCGTTACGTAATAAGTGAACGAACCCTTAACTGGACATAGGAATTGCAGTTATGTCTAGTTAATGTCCAGTTACAAAAAAATCGAAATAAAATAAATAACACGTGTCTTTTTCTCCATTTTTTTTTCTTTTGTAAAATTTTATTATTGTATTAGTGTAATTAATTAATTAAAGTACACTCACACTTATGAAAAATCGCTAGTAAAACTTGAGTCTCGAACACTTGCGCGTGAAATATTTATATTTACTTAAAAGTTTCATACAAATTTGGTGAGACGTTATATAAGTGATTTCTGCAAGCGCTTGTGAAGTATATGGTCAAAAAAGTAAGGAAAATTATTTTTGAGTTTCGAGCACTTGATTGATAAGCATGAATGTCCAGTTAAAGTCTAGTAAACGTCTAGTTCTCTATGTCGTATAAATTTCAGCAAGTTAAAAGACTGTTAAATGATTGTCCAATAATAAACTTTAACTGGCTGTGTCCACCCGGGTTATAAATTGTATTGTTTTTCTATCGCTGAAAAAGAGCATGAAAAGACGAGCTGATTAATTGTGGAAGAACTTTAAAATAAATTCTTACTGGCACTTTGAATTCAAAAAGTCAACTGTCATTTGTCGGTTGTAATTCAAAACTGAAACCATACAAATCTCAGAAAATTAAAATCATTAAGTAAATCATTAAGAATCCAGGGGGGGGGGGGGGGGGGGTCAGCAAGAAAAGAACAATAGAAATTCCAGGAAATCCACTGTTCTTTTTTGAGAAATGACCGTTAATTTTGGACGTCATAAGTGAGTGACCCCTTCACACTCAGTTTAAGAATAATCTAATTCCCAAAAACTATTTTACCTAAGTCTACAGTAAATAAAGAATGATATAAAAAAGATTCCATAAAGCTAAACCTTCCAAAGATCCAGCCAAAAATAAATAAATTCTTAAAAAATCCATAAAATGAATTCATAAATTTCATTTATCTTTCCTTTATGTCCATTTATTCCAAAAACATCCACAGTGACAAATCGTTCATCACCAAACTCTCCATCACGACGTAATTACTTTTATCACTACATCAATGCTGGTATTTATGATGTTGACAATAAATTTGGCGATTCATGCCGACAGTCATTAACATCATCAATAGTATTGGATGCATCAGATATATGTGACACAACAGATAATCGCAATACAATAGAGTTTGACTTTAAAAGAAATATAATAAGGGAGACGAGCAGTGCTAATTGTAGTCCAAAGAAATATCTTTTATCAACACTTAAACGCACTGATAGCCTTAATGCTAATCACCACATTACGGATGATATTGAAGATTTAGAACTTAAGGATGCGTCGTGGTTTCATACGGGACTACCGCATGAATTATCTTTAGAAGTCTTGGCACAACAAAGTCCTGGTGATTTTATTGTGAGGAGGGCGCATAATAAAAACGGTGGATTTACACTTTCGCTTCGAGTTCCTGGCACATCACCTAAAATTGTAAATTATTTGATCATTAGAACTACTAAAGGATATAAAATTAAGGTATGTAGGCATTTATGGATGTATAATTTGAAATGGTTAATGATTTTAATGTCTTACAGGGTTTTCATAAGGAATTTTCATCATTACGTGCTTTAATTACACACCATTCAGTCATGCCTGAGCAATTGCCAGTTCCACTAGCACTTCCAAGGCCGCAAAATATTAACCGTAAATGTAAGAACATTGATGATTATGATACATATGCAAGACTTAAAGATTTGCGATGTATCTTTTCGGATCTGGATGTAAATTCCTAACTACAAATTTGTGATGAAACTGCCCTGTGAATTGAAACGTAAATAAAGAAATTGGACAAAAGAGAAATTAACAAAAAACAGTCTGAAATTGTTTGTAAATAAAAAATAAAATTTCATTCCTCTTATTTTTCTTTCCAATCTTGTTATACAAATTGCATAAAAATTAGGCGCACCTTTTTTATATTTTCGAAAAAACAAAATTGTTTAATGAAACATCCATGAACGTAGTTTGTAGTTTCAGTTGAAAATTGAAATCAAAATTCAAAAAATGTTACAAAATTATGACACAAAAAATTAAAGAAAAGAGAAAGTGAAAAATCTTTTAAAATAAAGTTGGAGGAATTATTTATTCAATTAATTGCTAGTGATTTTAATATTTCTTTTCAGAGTTAAGTTACAATTTTGTAGGATTTTACCACGTTTTTTTAAGCAAGAAAGAAAAAATTGAATTGCTGAAAACCCGTAAAATCAAAAAAATTTAATTTTGAAGTTCAAAAAGCGCATTAAGTTCAAAAAATAACGAATTTCTAAGTACGCACAATGATTCAGAATCGAAAAAAATGTTCAAAAATTCAAAAATTTCATGTTAATTAAACTATGTCCTTTAAATGCCAGATTAAAGATCTTAACTTGAGGCATATCCTATGAAAATATCTCGTCCCAATTTGATGTCTAACTCCAGAAATCATTAATTTAATCTCACCCAAAATTTGTTTACAATTTGTGTATGAAAAAAAAAATATGATTTTTTCTACTTTAAGTTGTTATTTGGATGTCTTGGAAGCAGTTACTAGCTAATTTAAGCTTAGCTTTACATACTAAAACAACCAACTCAATAGAAATCTGCGTATTAAGCCTTAAAAATGGAATTGAAATCTGAGTATTTTTACACAACTTAAACTATTCATAAGTTGAAAAGTCTTCCAAAGACCTCTCTGAAACCTATACAAATTAATTAATTAAGCTTAAATCTATCTCCCATATTACTGAGGACATGCCGTTTGATGCCGTTTTCGTGATATTTGCGATCAAAGTTTACATAAATTTTCATACAAAATTTGATCATGCACAATATTTTTTGATAAACTTTTACAAACTTTTGGTAAAAAATCATGTTTATCCTTTATATTAAGGACTGATTTTTTGAGCAATGAACGAAAACATTATGTAGAAGATGTTAAAAGTTTCAAATCAAGAGAAATTAACAAAAACTTTCAATTTTCTAATGTGTCGGAAAAATATTGTGCACAAGGAATTTTTGGACATTTTTTCCGAATCTGAATCATAGTGGTACGGTTTTTAAGATTTTGATTCAAAAATCCATAATTGGGTTTAAATGTAAATTCTGAGTTCAATTTTTGATCAAAAATTCAAAATCAAAAATAACGATTTTTTGAAAACTTCAAAACAAATTCCCAATCAATCAAAATTCAAATAAACAAGCTTCTCCACTCTGCTGCACGCTAACTTTCAATATAAATTTGCAATATTTCCTTTTAAGTTTACGACATTTGAACAGGAAAATTATTTCAGATCCCCCGAGGATATTTTTTTTGTGTCAATTTGTGAATGAAAATTTTTTCATTCCCGTCAATGCTTTCAATTTTCACTTCGCAATTTTCTTATTAAATGTGAAAAATGAGTAAACATGTTTTTCCAATTTTCATATGATTTATTGATCGTCAATTTCTCCTATCAATGATTTATTTAAGATTTATTAGAATTTATACGAGAGTCATATGGGAGGTAAATATATCCAATATTCTTATTTGATGGGACGAAAGAGAAATGACACATCCAAAAAAAAAAACTTTTACTGTTCTGTATTTATGATGATGGTACGCAAAATGAGAGTGAGATATAAATGGCTTCGCATTACACTCAATTTATTTCATGAAAAGGAAGCAAATGGGAGATTTGAAGCGAGAAAAAAAATGTAAGGAAAATGAAAAGCATCTTTTGAAATGAATGGAGAGAAAAATGATTTATTTGAAAAATTTACACACAAAAAGCTATGAAAATTTGAATAAAAAAGTTTTTCGTTATCTTGCGGCTACGTGGAATTAAGGAGAGTGAACGTTCTCCTTTCATTGCCTTTTATGATCGTGTGAAAATCTGCCACTCGCTTAATTCCAATGCATTCTACAATTTTTGTACAGCTCAGCACATGGAAGGAGCAGAATGTAAGTTTTGTGGTCATTTGATGTGATTGTTTAGAGCGCATTCAAAGATTTCAAAGATTATTGTTCAGCTCATTTCAACACGATTAAACTCAATTCAAAATCAAGTAATATTGTACCAGGGGCAACCCTAGTCAAAAACAATTTTGTCACTTTTTTCTTCGAGGGTTTATCCAAATGGATTGAAACTATGCATAAATATTCTAATGCTTAAAACAAATACAAATAAATCATCTTTAAATTTTTTTGAGCAAAGAACTAAGTAGGAAAAACATTTTCAATTTTGGACTAGAGGCGGCCCTAGTCAAAATCAATTTTGTCACTTTTTTCTTCGAGGGTTTATCCAAATGGATTGAAACTATGCATAAATATTCTAATGCTTAAAACAAATACAAATAAATCATCTTTAAATTTTTTTGAGCAAAGAACTAAGTAGGAAAAACATTTTCAATTTTGGACTAGAGGCGGCCCTAGTCAAAATCAATTTTGTCACTTTTTTCTTCGAGGGTTTATCCAAATGGATTGAAACTTTGCATAAATATTCTAATGCTTAAAACAAATACAAATAAATCATCTTTAAATTTTTTTGAGCAAAGAACTAAGTAAAAAAAACATTTTCAATTTTGGACTAGAGGCGGCCCTAGTCAAAATCAATTTTGTCACTTTTTTCTTCGAGGGTTTATCCAAATGGATTGAAACTTTGCATAAATATTCTAATGCTTAAAACAAATACGAAAAAAACATCTTTAAATTTTTTTGAGCAAAGAACTAAGTAAAAAAAACATTTTCAATTTTGGACTAGAGGCGGCCCTAGTCAAAATCAATTTTGTCACTTTTTTCTTCGAGGGTTTATCCAAATGAATTGAAACTTTGCATAAATATTCTAATGCTTAAAACAAAAACAAATAAAACATCCTAAAATTTTTTTGAGCAAAGAACTAAGTAGGAAATACATTTTCAATTTTGAACTAGGGGCGACCCTAGTCAAAATCAATTTTGTCACTTTTTTCTTCGAGGGTTTATCCAAATGGATTGAAACTTTGCATAAATATTCTAATGCTTAAAAAAATACAAATAAAACATCCTAAAATTTTTTTGAGCAAATAACTAAGTAGGAAAAACATTTTCAATTTTGGACTAGAGGCGACCCTAGTCAAAATCAATTTTGTCACTTTTTTCTTCGAGGGTTTATCCAAATGGATTGAAACTATGCATAAATATTGTAGTGTTTAAAACAAATACAGGAAAATACATTTTAAATTTTGGACTAGGGGCGACCCTAGTCAAAATCAATTTTGTCACTTTTTTCTTCGAGGGTTTATTCAAATGGATTGAAACTTTGCATAAATATTCTAATGCTTAAAACAAATACAAAAAAAACATCCAAACATTTTTTTGAGCAAAGAACTAAGTAGGAAATACATTTTCAATTTTGGACTAGAGGCGACCCTAGTCAAAATCAATTTTGTCACTTTTTTCTTCGAGGGTTTATCCAAATGGATTGAAACTTTTCATAAATATTCTAATGCTTAAAACAAATACAAATAAATCATCTTTAAATTTTTTTGAGCAAAGAACTAAGTAGGAAAAACATTTTCAATTTTGGACTAGAGGCGGCCCTAGTCAAAATCAATTTTGTCACTTTTTTCTTCGAGGGTTTATCCAAATGGATTGAAACTTTGCATAAATATTCTAATGCTTAAAACAAATACAAATAAATCATCTTTAAATTTTTTTGAGCAAAGAACTAAGTAGGAAAAACATTTTCAATTTTGGACTAGAGGCGGCCCTAGTCAAAATCAATTTTGTCACTTTTTTCTTCGAGGGTTTATCCAAATGGATTGAAACTTTGCATAAATATTCTAATGCTTAAAACAAATACAAATAAAACATCCAAACATTTTTTTGAGCAAAGAACTAAGTAGGAAATACATTTTCAATTTTGGACTAGAGGCGACCCTAGTCAAAATCAATTTTGTCACTTTTTTCTTCGAGGGTTTATCCAAATGGATTGAAACTTTGCATAAATATTCTAATGCTTGAAACAAATACAAATAAAACATCCTAAAAATTTTTTTGAGCAAAGAACTAAGTAGGAAATACATTTTCAATTTTGGACTAGGGGCGACCCTAGTCAAAATCAATTTTGTCACTTTTTTCTTCGAGGGTTTATCCAAATGGATTGAAACTATGCAAAAATATTGTAGTGCTTAAAACAAATACAGGAAAATACATTTTAAATTTTGGACTAGGGGCGACCCTAGTCAAAATCAATTTTGTCACTTTTTTCTTCGAGGGTTTATCCAAATGGATTGAAACTTTGCATAAATATTCTAATGCTTAAAACAAATACGAAAAAAACATCTTTAAATTTTTTTGAGCAAAGAACTAAGTAAAAAAAACATTTTCAATTTTGGACTAGAGGCGACCCTAGTCAAAATCAATTTTGTCACTTTTGTCTTCAAGGGTTTATCCAAATGGATTGAAATTTTGCATAAATATTCTGATGCTTAAAAAAATTCAAATAAAACATCCAAAAATTTTTTTGAGCAAAGAACTTAGTAGGAAATACATTTTCAATTTTGGACTAGAGGCGACCCTAGTCAAAATCAATTTTGTCACTTTTTGCTTCGAGGGTTTATCCAAATGGATTGAAACTTTGCATAAATATTTTGATGCTTAAAACAAATACAAATAAAACATCCAAAAATTTTTTTGAGCAAAGAACTTAGTAGGAAATACATTTTCAATTTTGGACTAGAGGCGACCCTAGTCAAATTCAATTTTGTCACTTTTTTATTCGAGGGTTTATCCAAATGGATTGAAACTTTGCATAAATATTCAAGTGCTTAAAACAAATACAAATAAAACATCTTATAATTTTTTGAGCAAAGAACCAAGTAGGAAATACATTTTCAATTATGAACTTGGGACAGGTCTAGACAAAATCTAGTTTCTTGCACTAGAATATTTATGCAAAGTTTCAATCCATTTGGATAAACCCTCGAAGAAAAAAGTGACAAAAGTGATTTTGACTAGGGTCGCCCCTAGTCCAAAATTGAAAATTGATTTTCTATGGTGTACTTTGTCAAAAAAATTTTTTAATGTTTTATTTGAATTGACATAATTCTGACATAAATCACACAGTACTTTCCAAATGATTTTCAAATTTTTGCACATTTTCAGTTTTAACAGTTTTTGAAAATTCAAACAAAGTGCTGTTATAAGGTTTCATTTTTATAAAATTACCGTTAAGAATAAATTTGCATAAAAAACTTTTTATTAAGTTTCCGAATTGCGTGTTTAAAATTCATTTAACACAATTCTCAACTTTCAAATTGCTATAATTATTAAATTATACTCTAGCAAATCCAAAGTGAGCACTGATTCGTTATTTTACTTCATAAAAGTTTACTAAGAATTTCCATCAACATATTCTCCCGTTTTGCATAGAACATCAAATGACTAAGTAATAAAATTTATTCAATTTTTAACTTTTCCCTGCTACCGAAAAAATAAAACATAAATGCGTGATAATTTGCCATTAGCACCGATATAGAAAGGAGGAAAACCTGAATCACTAATGACTTTCTGTTATATTTCCCTTCAATACTTGCTTCTTGTGGCTAAAATGCTATTAATCGTGATTTCTTTTTATTGCTGTTTTTCACTTCCTGAGATATGTTTTGCTGTTAATACATGAACGGAACCTTCCAGTAGCTAAAAATTCTTCTTTTTCAGTCTAATTAAAAAAATATCGATCAACTGTCGAAGGTCTACAATAGAATTTCCTTGTAATTTCTATCGTCCATCGCATGACTACATTCTTGAACTTAAATTGCTTTCATGTAAATTTTTTATTCCATTTTCTGACTTCATAAAAGTTGGCAATAAAAATGTGCGGAATAAAAATGTGTGAATTACATGATTCATTTTTAAGCTTTGTTTGTACAAATGCAAAGAATAAGTAAACGATACATTCATGATGATGAATAAGCAGAATAACATGACAAGATAATGCATTATTCATCATTGAATGAGATGTTATCAGTAATACTTTAAAGGAGTTTGCTACTTTAAAAAAATTGAGGTTAGAATTTTTTGTTTTATAAATTTTAGGTGTTTTCATAATCATCTTGATAACACGCAAAATAAAATTTATTTCTTTCGAATAATGCGCATCGTGAAATTGGTTGCATTAAAATATAATAAAAACAGATTTTTAAGAAAATACTCATTTGATTTCCGGTGTATAATGCGCAAATTTTAACTGGATTTGTAAATTTCTCACTTCCTCTATTAATCACTTTTATGAGCGATTCATTTTAAAATAAAATTATAGTTTTTATATTCAGATAATGCGCAGGAAAATTATATTAATTCACATAGTGCGCACCAAAATTTTATATTCAGATAATACTTACCTTCAAATGATTTTTACTCATAGATTATGCGCAATTTGAAACCATTTAAAATTTCAGATAACGCGCACTACACATTTTAAATTAACTCATAACGTGCTATTACTTGCACAAAAAGTATCATGTCCAGAAGCCAAGAGAAAAATAAGAAAATAGTCTGGCTATTTATATGATTTATGAATCACATAGCGGGTAGAAAATAAAGAAGAGTGAGAACATAAAATAAAATGGCTATTTAAAAATAAATAAATCAATTTTCTAAATTATCTTTAAAGACTTAAATAATTTCCATCGAATGTTTGCAGCTTTAAATGCATGACTCATGTGCTCTACAAAGGAAGACATGAACATCTAATGTCACAAGTAATTTTATCAAAATCTAAGTTTAGAAACTTCTGTTTCTGCTACCTGACACGAACAGCTTGTATCAGCACAAAATGTAACAAAGACTCTCAATTTCTCACAATCATGATGACGTCAGTAGAAGATTCTCCACAATCCATTATCAATGCGAGAAAGCAATATTTCTCATCAGTACTTTAAAACCCTCAAAACAAGCTACACATAAAAATTTTATATTCTGTTCTCATAAACAGCAGCGATGTCGAAAACCGTCCCATTTACTTTATTATTATTGTTATTTAGCATAATAAAATTTCATTTAATCAAGTGCGGTACGATAATAAATAAATCATCTGACATATTTTCAGCACCGGCAATTAATGATGAACCAATTATTGGAGTTTTATCTCAAGAGATGACATCCTACCTTCGTTCAAAATATGCTGATCAATATCACAGTTATATAGCGGCATCATATGTGAAATTTATTGAAGGTGGTGGAGCACGAGTTGTGCCAGTTTGGTAAGCCAAAATATGATGATTTTTTATTCAGTCTCTCATTCCATTTTGGAAGTTTTTTTTTTGGTATGTGACGGCTGACAAAGTTCTTTTTTTTTATGTTTTGCGTAAAGCAATAAAAGTGTTGGTGTAAAATGTAGATTTGTTGGGGTTTAAAGTTCAAATTTGAAGGTTTAACGGAAATTTTAAATTTGAATTTTTGGAACATTAAGTTCAAAACGTTACAACAGTTTCAAAAATCAAATTTTGAAAAGCCGTTAAAAAGGTTATTGAGGATTTTTTTAATTTTTAATATAATTTAACCAAGTAAAGGCCTGTTCCTTTATTATATATTCTTTAAATTGCTATAAATGTGATAAAAAGGTTGAAAAAGAATTTAAAACTCATTAAAACTGTCCAAAAAACAAAACAAACTGTTACAAATTATTTTGAAATAATATCGCTGAATTGAGATGAAGAATTCGAATTCTTAATAACCGTTTAAAACGGACGACAATGATTATATGTATAAAATTTCAATAAGAACACATTCAAGCCCCAAAATTTGCCAACAATAAACAACAAATTGAGAAACTAGGCTAAAAACTGACCACTTGGAAAAATAAAGCACTTAAAAAGCAAATTTATATTCCTAAAAATGGAAATAATTCTTTTCCAACTGGGTTCCTTATCGATTATTTTTCATCGTCTCTCAGCCTACATAGCTGATTCATTGAATATAGGATAGAAAAAAAGTAAAGGCTAATTTCCTAAACACAAAAAATTTTCTTTCCGACCAGCTAAAATCACAGGATGTATACATGCCATGCATATCACATTTTAGGCATATTGCGGACAAGAAAAAAGAACTTTGTCATTCACCCCAGGCGTTGATTAATTATTTCAGCACTTTTACTCTTTTTTTTTTCATTCGGGTATTGTTCTTTTAGGATAGGAAAGGATAGGAAATATTATGAAGACATAATGTCGAAGCTGAATGGGTAAGTAAGTGATAGGAGGTTGTTCTTTTGTTACGTTCCATACTTTGTGCATGAATCATACATATTTATAGATCAATCCCCCCCCCCCCCCCCCCAACCCCTACCCCCTTACCCCATCTCCATAAAAATCCTTCAATAACTTATAATCAACTTGATTACCGCAAATTGCAGAATTTTATTTCCTGGCGGAGCTGTTTCCTTCACAAATCGCAATGGATATGCCCAGGCAGGCAATCACATTTATAAAATAGCCACAAAGATGAACAACAACGGCGATTATTTTCCCTTGTGGGGTACATGCTTAGGCTTTGAGCTCATTACTTATTTATCAGCAAACCGGACTGAGATTCGAACTGATTGTTCATCTCATAGTCAGGCATTGCCATTGGAATTTAAAAGTAGCTTTAAGAAGAGTCGAATGTTTAAAGACGCACCAGACAGAGTCATTAAAGTTCTAAAAGACGAAGCCGTGACATCAAATTTTCATACTTTTTGTCTCACTGAAAAGGTAAGCAGGCATTTAACATCCAAAAAGTGACATAAAACAATTTTTTTGTCTTCTTTTCCACCGCACTGCCAATTCTAGAACATGACAGATTATCATTTGGATTCGATATGGCGTGTATTGTCTGTAAATAATGATTGGAATGGCTTAACATTTGTTTCCACAATCGAACATCGTCAATATCCATTTTATGCTGTTCAATTTCACCCAGAAAAGAATATTTACGAATGGGTCCGCAATAAAAATATTTCACATACATCCAACGCCATAATTGCATCGCAATATTTTGCAGAATTCTTTGTTAATGAGGCACGCAAGAGTCATCATCATTTTATTGATTCTAAAGATGAGGACCAGTACATGATTTATAATTATCAAGCTGAATTTTCCGGTGCTAAGGGTGCTGGTTTCGAGCAGACTTATTTATTTCCTGAGGAGGTTAATTATATGATTCGGAGGAAGAATTTTAAAGGTAATTAATTTGTTCCTTAATTAGCTGCTGTTCTTATTCTGTTGTTGTTTGGGAAACTTCTTTTTAATTTTGCAATGTTGCTTTGGATAGATGTTACAGCTGCCATTCATTTTTTGTAGTTTAAATTACAAAGTTTTTGTTTATATTTTCATAAGCTTAATGTTTTGCTTAATTGAGCTGAATATTACGCTGAATTGAACTAGATAATTACTAAATTGAGCTGAATAGTTGCTAAACTAAGCTGAATAATTACTGAATTCAGATAAATTTGAAAACAATCATTTAAGATTGAAGATTGAAAACAAACTTAATCTTTGAGAACAATCTAGTCAAAGCCTTAAAATTCTAAACTTTTGTGGGCGCAAAAAAAAAAGCACAACCCACACGAGATGTTGTTTATGATCTAGAAAGTAGATTAAAGAACAAAAGCTCGTCTTGCTCTGAATATTTTTATGAGATTAGATGACAATAATTCTCTGTTATTTCTTAGAGAGAACAAGATTACAATTTCTCCCAGCCTAACATCACAAATCTTTCAAAATAGAATTTACGAAATGTTAAAGGACATTCGAAAGATAATCTTCTAAAGACTTAAAGACAACAGAAAATGTCCAGCATAAAATTATGTTAATTAAAAGGTAGCAACAAATATTTTAAAAACTTTAACATTTCAGGACAGACAAAGAAAGTCGATAACATCGTTGTATTCTAAAGAAACTTAGTCATGACTTCCTCGTGAACAATTCTCAAGAATGAGAAGCTTATCTAATCGCACAATTACATGACAAACGAAACACTTCGCATGAAGACCTCGAAAGACGCTTATCAGCTCTCATTGTTGAGTATGCAAAAACGCAATGATTAGGAATGTTAAATAAAATATAAAAAGTTAAAATTGAAAATGAAAAAGTTTTTAAATTAAATTTCTTTTAAGTTTTAAATGAAAATTGACGACAGGAATTGAAATTTTCTGATTTAAAACTTTATAATTGACTTATTCTTCAATGTTCAACTAATTGGATATGTAAGCATGAATGTATACATGAAATTTTGATTTCGTATTCCTTTGAGATGAAGCAATAATCTACTTTTCGTCTATTTGAAGAGGAACTTGAATGAATGAAAAACTTTTTTCAGAGACTGTTGCATTAAAAATTTAAAAGTGAGAAAGTTTGACGGAAGAATCCGTCTTCTCGCTCAAAAGATTTATGTATGAATTGGATCTTACAGTTCAAACAAGAATCAATAAAAGAAATATAAGGGAAAATTAAGTTTTTTGATACAATTTTCAATCTCTTTTTCTTATTTTTCTTGCTTGTCAGACACAGGGTTGGTGGTTTTGGAGATAATTTAGCATGTTTGGCTGAATATTAACAATGAAGTCTGTTTTATTTGTAAATTTTTGATTGAGTTACTGGATCTTCAAAATCTTTGAAGTTATAACTCTTAAGTCCTTTATACGTTATGTGTTCTCAAGTTTAAGGTTGACTCTTGCTTTGAACTTAGACCCTGTTTTTGATTACAGTGTATTTAATTGAATAAATGAACATACAAAATTCATGGACAATTTCTTTCTTAAAATTTTTCATATCTATGTTCACTTATTACGTTCGCATTTTAGGGGGGAGGGGGGGTTTGAAAATTTGTAACAAAATGTAACATAAGGGGGGGGGGGGGGTGTCAAGAAGTATGTAACGTTCCAACTGTCGTCTGTCTTTTAAAAAAAATCACGAAAATTCACACCAAAAACATTTTTTCAAATTTTCCACCTTTTTAATGATAAAATAAATTATGAACGTCAGGAGGGGGGGGGGGGGGGGGGGGGGGTTGTGAGTTGTAACATATTGTAACAAGGGAGGAGGGGGGGATGAAAAAAGTCGTTTTTTTGCGTAACGTAATAAGTGAACGACCCCTATACAAACGTTTCCACATTTAATAAAAATTTGTATGGCTTTGTTTATGAATTTCAAATAACCGTTAAATTTTAAATGATTGTCAAGTAAATTTCCATCGTTTTTCAACCTCCTCTCAGCAATTAACTCCTTCTAATTAGACAAACTTCATTAAGGCAACTCCCACTTCGCACCTCTGACACCTCTTCAGGAAAACAACCACGTGCTGTTATACTTACAAATTCACAAGAAAAGTATAAAAATATCTCATGATTATGACTCGAGGAGATGGAAAAAGAAGTAACACATAAAGAATAAAATAATGTATTAAACAAATTAAGAGCAAACAAGAGAAAACTGTCTAAACTTGAAAACTTTCAATTTATCATTTTTCTCTTCTTTGTTTGACTCTTGCCTTGCTTGCCTTGTTCATTCCGTAACATAAAACTTGCCATTGTTATCAGACATTTTTGTCCCACTTCTTTTCTTCTCCCCCCTTCTTTTGCTGTTCAGCTCTAAGCAATTATGTGCATGTAGAGGAGAAAAATTTATATTTACACTAAGAAAGAAATTGCAACATTAAGAAGGAAGAAGGAAGAAGTGAGAAAGAATGGCAAACTTTACTAATGTTGTATTTGAGTTTAACATCACATGAATTAAAGTTGATGGATAAGATTTGTGGAAAATTAGAAAGATATTTATTTTTTTTTTTGCTGTTGTGGCAAGAGAAATGGACATATGAGGAGAATGCTTGATACATGAAAGTTCAGGAAGGGCTTTTAATGTAATTTATCATCGTCCGAATAAATCATTCAATTCTTTTTTTGTCTCGAGCAAATATAAATGTTTATGGCATTTCCATCCTTTTTCATGTATCTTTGGGCACTTCTTGTTATTGGAAAAATTGATGTATTGATTTTTTTAAAAGTAAATTCTTGATTTCTTGTGATGATTTGATTTTTCAACGGATTTTTGATGTTTGAATTTTTAACGGATTTTGAATTTTTGAAATTTGAGTCTATGGGAAAATGAAACTTTACTTTATTTTTTCAAATATATCCCTTACCAGAGCATGAAGAAATCATCTTGATCGCTTTTCATATTTACTTTTTTAACGCACTTACATTTGCATCATAGAGTATCAAAAAAATTGATTAAGTAATGAGAAATTTGGCAAACTTTCAAAAATCATGTATACATCATTGACAAAGTTTTTTTCTGATTTATAAAATAACCGTTAAATTCATTCAAGCTTCAAAAAGTTTGTTTACATTCCATAAAATGTTGAAAACTGCAAAATTAATTAACAACTTCAGTAAGTACATATCAAATAAATATAAAGAACGAAGAATAACTCATTCTTTTGTTGCATTCAACAGCTATTGTGAGGAAATTCCACATTTCTACTGTATTTAACATTGATCAAGATTGGCGAAGAAAAATGAAACTTCCAATAAATCCAAATAAAGAATCACCATTGACATACCTGTCAGATTTCACTTATATAGACGGTAGACCATCGGCACTCGGGGTAAATAAATAGATTTCAATTTAAAAAAATAGTGTAAATAAATTTAATTCACAGAAAAATCAAAAGAAAAGATTAATTAAGCAACGAGAGCTCTCGACGAAAATTGTTGATGGACTAAATGAAATCAACTTTGCTGTAGAACGTTTCAAACAATTGTCTGTAAAATCGGAGCTGGAAAAGAGGAGAATTTTAGATAGCAAGCTGAAAATGAAAGGATTTAAAATGTTTAAAAACTGAAGATCCAGACAACTTTTTGTTTGCTGCTGCTGCTGTTCTACAAATTTAAAATTAAAAAAAAAAGGCAAACGAATTCTGGTGAATTTCGATAATGCTTGAGTAAAATAAAATGCTGAAATGTAATGAAAATGCTTTACAAGAAGAGTTCACAAAATAAATGAATGAAAAATCTCGTCTGAAAAGGAACAAAAAATCGTATGAGCAGCATAGACACAGACATATTCTATAGCCAATCCCTTTTTTTCAAACAAACCCGGAATGGGAATCTTTTATTATGTGTGTAGATGGATTACGTGTTCATATTTTAAAAGGAATCTCATAATCCCATGAATCAATAGATTTTTCAATTTTTCCTTTGTGCGGTTTTCATGAAGAGGGGATTAATGGTCGTATTATATCGTATGACTGTGATTCGAACTTAAATTATATTTGAAAATTAAGATTCGAAAAATTTCTTATTTCTAACGGTTTATCCAAATTTGTAATTGAATCAATCAAGTGAAGTTAGCTTCAGATTCTCACAATTCAAATCCAAAAATATCGTTAAAAATTCAAATTTCAAAAATCAGTTGAAACATAATTTCATAAAATAGAAATCATTCATCATGAGCATATCCAACTCGTCCAAGTCTTTTTCGCAAGAATTTTTTAATCCTTGTAATGCCTGAATGCATAATATTTACATGAAATAAATTCTTTTTGCCTTTATTCCTTTTATTTATTGCTGTTGCTTAGCAAAAAGCTTATTTTTTCCTTTATATTTCTCATTTGATATTATTATCTGCTATAAGTATTTTTGGTTGGCTTAAAAAATTCATGAAAAATTTCTGTGCTAATAAAAAGAATCATATTTTTAGCAAGTCTTGAGTTTTCACACAATAAAACAATTGCTGATAGCTATCAGAAATTTTCCTCATGCACGGACGAAGCAAAAAAATAAAAAGAATTGCTTTCAGGTTGTATTAAGGCATTGAGTGAAAAGAAACACAAGAACAAATTTTTTTACGCAAATAAAACATGCAAAAGCCATAAAAACGTTGGAAGGCACTAATTTGTTTAAAAACGGAAGGAAAGAAAAATTGTTGAAGGTAAAAGATGTAATAAAAATAAAGTCTTTGGTTCTTTTGATTTTTATTTAGTTCTAGATGATCGATAATCCATAGGAAATTTTATATCAATGGCATTACATGCACGCATATATCTTCTTATTGCTGAATAATGAAAAAGGAAAATGCTTAAGTCTCAGGAAAAGGGAAGGAAAATTAGCAACAGTATGGCATGGTTGAAGTTGAATTTTTGATTGAGACGCTTTAGGGTTAGTTTGTACAACGGATCTTTAAAGTTTGAAAATTCTAGTCAAGACACGATTTAACGGTTACAAGATTTTAAATATTAGACAAGACACATTTTAATGAATTTGTAACTTAATTCAAATTTTAACGGTTTTTACCAAAAATCAAAACAATCTCACTAGACACCTCATAAAGCCATGATAAGTTCAATACCACAGTAAACAACTCAAAATGCCATAACAAAAAACTTCTTTCTTGAAAGAAATATTCAAATTTATATATTTTTTTTTCCTCATTTCTTCCATCAAATCATCTGATGTATGCAAAAATTGATAGTAAAAATGCCTTTACCCCATTCCGCTTTCTCTTCAGTGTTCAATTCATGAAATCAATATATGCACTCATAGAAAAAAAGTAACAAAATGTTTGTAACTTGTATGGAAAATGTTAACAAACAATTCGTTAAAATAGTGTTTACGAACTTATTTGTTAAATTTAACCAAATTATTTGTAAGGTTGAATTGTTAACTATAAAAATTGTTAATTTAACAAACTTTTTGTTAAAATTTTTTTTTACAGAAAAAAATAACAAATTTTCGGTTAATATTAACCAGAAAATTGTTAATTTGGTCACCCATCTTATTTTAAAATGTTTCCGTGGTTGCTTAACTTCTGAATTCCTGTTGATGATCCGCTAGTCCGCTGCTTGTAAACTTTTACTTATAAAATTTGATTCAGAACCAATATAAATAATTCTTTAAAAAATATATCCAAATTTTAAAATTAATTTATGAATAATAAAATAGAAATGTAGGACTTAAAAAAATGAACAAATTTAATTTTTAAATTACGATTTGGTTTGTAAATCATTATTTTCCAAAACAAATTACAAATAAAAACATTGTAACAAATGTTTTGTTAAAATTAACAAATTAATTTGTTAAACAAAATCAACAAAATTCAATTTAAAGCAGTTTTCTCATTAAAAATAACGCAATAAATTAATGGGAATCGTTTGAAATTAATCAAACAAGAGTTTTGAATACAAAAATTAAAATTTAATTAAATCAATTATTAACAAATAAATTTGTTGATTTAACAAACTCAATTGTAAAATTTTTAACAAATAGTTTGGTTGAAATTTTTTTTACCCATGTAAACTTAACCAATAATTTGTTAAACTAGTTTAACAAACATATAACAAATATTATGGTTACTTTTTTTCTATGAGTGTGAGACTCTTCAAAGATCCGATTTTTTTATCAATATTCATAAATAAGAAGAAGAAAATGTATACATTGCTTCCCCAATCACTCGAATATATATAAAATTTCTTTCCTTATTTTTTTTACTCTGCCATTTTCAAGCATCAGCAGAAAAAGAAATTGTCAGGGACTTCCTGTTCCTTCATGATATCAATCTTTTCCATTTATCTTGGTCTTGGCAGCCTCTCAAACCTCTGAAGTTATTTTTCTACCTTTTTGAGTAGTTGTGGAAGGCACAGCAGACTTCTTATCCTCCCAATTCAATACAGAACAAATATTCTTTCCATTCTATTAAATTGAAAAGTCAGAACTACCTTAAATATCGGCACTAGATAGACTTCTTTTCATCTATTCACATATTATGCTTATAAATGGGGAACATTCGGAAGTGATGTATATCAATAAATTGAGATTTTTGGTCATCAGAGCTTTTATTGTCATGAAATTGCAGCTAAGAAATTAAATGGAGTATCATACTAAGCTGTAGAATCAGGGATGTGACATCATACATAAATCACCCCCTCCTAAGTAGCATTCTGAAGTCAATATCATTGAAATATTTTCATCGGCTAAGAATGCCTAATAATAAGTTTTCTTTTATGGAAAGGATATAGTTAAGGTTTAAAAAAAATCCCCTCCTTTTTGCGTTCGCATTCATAATATTATGGAAATTTCTCATTCATATCCAATGGTTGGGAAAAAAGAATATATTTCCATTAAAGTCAATATCAAGAGCTTCACATAATAATTTAAATGCTCATTTTACTGTAAGTCGATCTTTTGGTTTGGAAATAAGAAGGAAGGAAAGTTTAAATTAAAGCAGCACAGAGAGAGAGAGAGAGAAATGTAGTAAATAGTGGGTAGGTGGAGAAAAACCATAGTTTTTGCTGCCTTGTGTTTGTGCTGCCTCAACGATATATTTCTATCTGCCTTTTATTTATAGAGCGAATAGGAACGACTTTGCTGTAATAGAAAAAAAAGTCTATTTAATTATGTAATAAAGTTTTATGATAGTTATTTATGCGGATTACATGACAGCAGTTCTTTTAAATGCTCCATACTGGCTTCTTTTCTCTCTTTTTGTGTAAGTATAAACTATGAGATGTTAAGAATAAGAAAAAAGAAAATCTCTTTGTGAGTTGTAAGTTTGGGAATCTTAATTAGAGATTTATAGCGTCTTTTGGTGAGGTTTTGAATTGTTTATGGCTGCAATTTGTCTTGAATTCTTAATTATTTGGTTTTTGTACAATTTAATTAAAATTTTGTGAATAACGGTTAAAAATAATTTGAATTTTTGGGTTATAAAATTTTGACATCTCGGAACTTTTTGAAATTTAATCGTTAAATATTCAAAAAATAACGGAAAAAATCATTAAATTTACCTTGGGCTCGTTCACTTATTACGTAACGCAAAAAAACGAGTTTTTAGACCCCCCCTCCCCCCCTGTAACAAAGCGTAACAAAATCTTAGACCCCCCCTCCCCCCCTCCATAACGTAACAATAATTTTTTTCATTAAAATTGTTTATCAAATGTTTATTATACTTCCTTTAAGTACATATGTAAAAGTAAATAGAAGGAAAGCAATAAAAAAATATATTAATCGTTTACATCCATATTATTAACTAAACGCAAAAAAACTCATAAGTTTTGTAATCATTAGTCGTTTTCCCAAATTGGTTGAAAATGATCTTCAACTGCAAATACATTTTGATATTCAACAATAATATCAGTATTTGCACGTTCCTCTTCAATATCCAAGTTCTCAGCTTCTACCCAATCCAAATCCTCTTGCAATTGTACTAATACTTCTTTTTCACGTCTGCATATTACTTTTCTTGGTTTTTTCTTAGTATTAACTATACGTTTGTGAATAATTTTTCGGTGATTCTAAAAAGTTCTTAAGTTAAAATTTAACGATAAAAAAATTTAAAATTAATATAGAAAAAATATATTTTTTGAAAAGTTACGTAACAAAACTTAGACCCCCCCCCTCCCCCTGTAACAAACCGTAACAAAATCTTAGACCCCCCCTCCCCCCCTAGTGCGTTACGTAATAAGTGAACGAACCCCTTCCAGATAACCATAAATTCATTTATGCACTTTAACTTACACAAATTCCCCCATTTCCTTTACATTTTCTAACTTGAAGTGACTTTCTTGCTATTTTCTGTTTGTCGTGTTGTATGTCGTGTCCACCCATCCATAGATAATTGAATTTTAATCCCCATTTCCTAGCCTTCATTCTTCTCCTGACTTCAAGTATTTACAAGTGATAAACAAGTTCTTATTTTCAACAAAAATAGACTTTATGCTCATTCCATCCAATTCTCATTTCTATGGATCTATCTTATTTACTCCCTCTCATAATGCAGTCATTTGCATTCTGGTTTTTATTGTCTGAGTGAATGACGAAAAAAATTCATTCTCGTCTCAATCAAATTCAATTGAAATGAAATCGAGAATAGTCATGACTATGTGCTGCATGTGAATAAAAAAAGGTTCGATGAAAAATGAAAATTAAACTTTATTCATCTCCAATTTTTATTTTATTTTTCTCTATTTAAGCAACATATGGTTGGAAATATTGGATGTCTGTTTTCAGCATACCACA